ATTAATGCTGTCAGCGCTGTTCTTTTCTTCTAAAAATGCAAATTACCGGTAATAACATGTCAGTTCTGTTTTTATTTTATAACCATCCAGAAGTATGAATGCTATCAGTGCTGTTTTCTTTTCTAAACTTGCAGGCATGTTCACCCGTGTTTAAAATTTTTTTTTAATTAAAACAACAATGAATAACCTCCGTGTAGCGTCTTTTTGTCTAATTATCTTATGTTATGTCCATACATGCGCTGTATGACCTGCATGTGGCTGCTGCGCCGCGGCTTGTATTTGAGTGCGGCGTGTGTGTGTAGAAAACCTTTTCTTTGTTGTTGTTGGTGCGGTTTATATTGAGGTGCGCTCTATAGTCTGGAAATTACTGTATATCATCCAATGCTCGCTCGCTTTCAAGCCAGTTTTATACTAAGATTATCTTTTGTTTAGAAATGATGAAATTTCTGCTGTTTTGGTCCAGTCTTTCAAAAATAATTGTGCAATCATGCGCAATATAGCAAAACTTTGTGTTCGCTCTTGGAATGTGTTATGACTGACTCTCCTCTCATCTACCAACACAGCAAAATTGAGCTCAATAGCTGTGTAATTTTCTGATTTATATTGTGTTTGGAAAGGTTGATTACTTGCAGCATCTTGAACTGAGCCGCTTGCAAAAGTCAGTGAGTTATGACGGCAGATCCAGTGGTATTTTATTTAAAACTGACTGGGTTGACTAATAAATAGTATTGTTTTAAGCTAAATAGCTCCATGACGTGTAGCCCTCTGAATACGCTACTGAGGACATAACTATGATTCCAAATTGTAGCTCAAAATCTGTATAAATGACTGGTTTAGAAATTTTTTTTGTGTCTGCCCTTTAGCTGTGGCAGCCATATTGGATATAGGGTTTGCCTAAATGTATAAATGCTAAACTTCCAGTGAAGAATTACAAAATATTTTCTGTTTTTCATGAGAAGTTTAAGCAAAAATCTTGTACGATGTGTAGCAGGACTCTTGAATATGACACCAAATTGTAGCTCTAAATCTGCAAAACTGATTGATTTATGGCCATTTTAACACATGCTAACGTCCGTTAGCTATGGTAGCTAGTTAGAGCGAGGTGGACTTCAAAAGCTAATCAGATGTAGATACATCTGATGATTACATTTTAAGAGTTTCGTCAAAGTGATGGTGTGTATTTTTCCTGGCGAGGGAGTAGTATACCTAAATCAATGCAAGCAAGCCGTGTTTTTGTGTTTGAGTAAGACCTGGGGCCTCATTTATCAAGCTTGTGTCACACCCGGTCATGTCTCCCCGTTTAGTTCAGCCTTGTGTCTCGTTAATTATTCCCACCTGCCTCTCGTTTCCCAATCACCTTAGTTCCCAACCCTCCTGTATTTAAACCCTGTCTGTTCTTTGTACTGTGTCGGATCATTGTTTCATTGTCCAGCGTGCTTAATAAATCCTGTTTGACCGTTCCTACCTGCTGCCTGTTTACTCCCCGGTCTGGATCCACGCCTTTCCTCCGCTCCACTCCGCAGCGCGCTGACAGAGTGGAGCGGAGGAAAGGCGTGGATCCAGACCGGGGAGTAAACAGGCAGCAGGTAGGAACGGTCAAACAGGATTTATTAAGCACGCTGGACAATGAAACAATGATCCGACACAGTACAAAGAACAGACAGGGTTTAAATACAGGAGGGTTGGGAGCTAAGGTGATTGGGAAACGAGAGGCAGGTGGGAATAATTAACGAGACACAAGGCTGAACTAAACGGGGAGACATGACCGGGTGTGACAGCTTGCTTACGCACAAAACGGGTCGGAAAACTGCGTAAGCAACTTTCAACGCAAACTTTGGGATTTATGAAAGAAAACTTAGTGGAAAAATGTGCGCAACTTTAAGTTGACTAAGGACCTTGCTTACGCACATTTTGGACATGGAGAGCACCTGCAGTGCTGCTGCTGAGAAGGATAAAATTGTGAAATCCTGCAGCATTATCACTTGTACTGCTTCGTTTTCACACAGAACAAGATCCCCCCCCCCCCCCCCCCCCCACCCACACACACACACAGCCTGAAGTGCAGAATACGGACATGGGGACAGATTGAGACAGAATGTCATGCGTCTGAGACAGTGTGTGTCCTGTCACTGTGACTCGATTGATCATGCGCCCTGGCTCCTTGTACAGGGGAGATTTTCGTTTGGCTGACTGGTCAGCACGCGTGACTTTCACCCAGGAGTCTGGGGATTGAATCCCGACTAAACTATTTTTTTTTATATCCGCCACAGATCTCTCTGAAGAATTCATGACATTGACGGCTTCAGCAATGCTGTGCCACTCTGTGGATTTTCTCTTATTTGTTTTGCAAAAGCACTTCCTTTCATTTCTCCACCTCACCCACAGGTACCTGAATTTCTGCTTCTGTGAAATTGCGCTTCCTTGATCTGCCTTGATCTACGGTCGCCATGTCATTGGCGGAGCGCTGCAACAGCCGGCTCATGTATATGCATGAGATCCACGAGGCACTTTGCATTGACTATTTATGGCAGTAAGTGGGCGTGGTGAGGGCGGGATGTGACTAAAATGCAGCTGAGAACCTTTCTCGTTAGTCTTCGATTCATGAAACGGAGATTGCATGCAGCTGTGCGTACTCCATGTTTGATAGATCATAAACCTACTTGGCGTAAGTACTTTTTTTTTTTTTTGCTGAGCTTAAGCACGGTTTTAGTAAGGATTCTACGCAATGTTTGATAAATGAGACCCCTGGGCTGTTAACTTTTGAAAATTTCAAAGAGTGAGAAGGGGTCATGGGGTTGGGAGCCAACATTTCACCGACCGTTTAGATCGCACATGTGTTGTACTGCAATTTAAATGAAAAGTAATGATGAGTGTTTCGACCATGCCAGTCACATACTTTGAGATTTATCAACTTGTAAAAGTTTGTAATTAACATGACTGCAAACCAGAAATCGGCACGTCGCATATGTGACGTCACCACATAATCTCCTCTCCCCTAACGTAGCTGCTACTTACCAAATGACCAGATTTATGGTTGTTCTTTCCTTCTGTGGGAAGTTTGCTGAATATTCAGCTTTTTCCCCTCAGTTTGGTTGACGACGTCACTTTCGTGAAGTCCTGGACTTATTTTCACACAAACCTAAAATAGCGTTTTCCCCGTTTGAAAATTAGCGCCTTCCTGATATCAAAATGCGTCTTTAAAATTCATGGAGATCATATGTGAAATCCATGGCACAAAATAAGCGGAATTAGAAAATACCGTTTTTAGCCCCATTGGCTTGCATTCATCATTTTGTTCTTCCGGGTCCAGTGGTACGGAAGTAGATGGGCGTGACTTAGGCCTAGTCCACACGTAGCCGGGGTTTTTTAAAAACAAATATCCGCCCCTCCAAAAACTTGCATCCACACCACCGCGTTTTAAAAACAAACTCTGTCCACACGTACTCGGATAAATACGTTGTTAAGGACATGCCAGACCTGTAGGCGGCAGTACTGCCCCCGTTCTTAACCTCGTCCTTCGTCTGTGGTCTTCCGCAAGGAGCAGTAATTCCGCTTGCAAAAACAAACAAGCAAAAAGCGCTTGGACAATTGATAAAGCGAGCGCAGCTCTGAGGGCTTCCATGCTGTCGGCTAGTGTAAACACAGGTCGCACACGTGATGTCAGCATTTTTTTGTCGCGGAAAGTGACGTTGTGGACCTTAAAACTCCGGTTTTGTCCGTCCACACGCAGACACCCAAAACGGAGATAACGCAGATCTTCACTTTGGCTGGAGTTTTTAAAAAGATCCGTTTTCGTGTGGATGACAGGCCAAAACGTAGAAAAATATCTACGTTTTGGCAGATCCCCAGCTACGTGTGGACAGGGCCTTAGGCTCCCTATCCTGTCATCTCCAAGATCGGTAATTTACGATTGTGTTTATTTAGTATTTTTTTTTATTTGTGACTTTTTAATACAGACAAATTTGTCCCTCATTCTCCTCCACCTCTTCATGTGCACGCCACGTCTAAACCCACGTTTCCCATAATTTCCATTCATAAATAAAATGCTTGTTGCGTATATTTTTACCCCTCCAGTCAGAGGTGAATGAAACGTTCATATTTAGAGTTTTTCAGCGAGGTATTCTTCAAACTGCTCCTGTATCCACTGGATATCTTCAGCTCAAGTTGTGTTTTTGAGGGCGCAATGGCAGCACTGTAGATGAAAGTGGCATCCTGACCATTCACAGTTGCGTTCTCTGTCTCGTTCGGCAAATATTTAGAAAAGTGGGCTCCACTCCGTCCTTCCTTACGAGCCTGCTGGAGAGTCCTCGCAGGGATGGATAATGGCGTGTCTCAGTACCGACGCAGATGACGAAGCATAAACTAGGCTTTAGACCCACTCCCATATATTTTAACCTCTTGAGACCCTAAGACAATGTATACAAACATTGGCTTCTTGCATCTGGAATATTTTATTCTCATCAACTTAGACCTTTTTTTTTATAATTTAGAAACATTTGATATTGAATTGAAGTTAAGAATGTTTTATTTCGGTTTAATCTAGGAAACCTGTCAATAATTTTATTTAATTTTAATTTTATTTTACATCACACCAAATACAAATTGGGGTTTCAGGAGGTTAAACCTGATTTTTACGATTATATGTTAACAAAGCCGCCAATATTTTTCAACAAGGCATCATTTAATTCATTTTCAACAACATTTCGATAGATAATTCTAGAGATTAAGGGTAAAAACTGCACATTGTCACTTTAAAATAAGTCCAGTAGTTCATGAGATATTTAATTGATGCCACCAAAACGCATGCAAAAACATTACTCTACTTAAAAGTAACCCCTCCCCTTTGTCACGACACAAGCTCCTCCTACACTACGCTCTGATTGGACGGGCAGTGCGCCGGATCTCCAATCAGACACCTTGCTCGCTGCTCTGATTGGCCACAGTCGGTGCAGTTATGTAAATGAGCACCTGGCGGCGCCTGCTGGCCCCGGAGCCCGGAGAGCAGGCGCTGAGTTCGGGCTCATACTCGGAGAGGGGCTGAGCTGCACAGACCCCAGCGCGGTGCGCGCCGTGTTTCCTCCCCGCTTTGTAGACAAGCCTCGCCGCTCTAAAAAAGTCAGACTGTCCGCGTTCAGCCGAAAACTTTGAGTTTTGGATTATTGTGTTGTAGTTTTCTCTAAACTTTGGACTACTGGTTACGCTTTCTTCTCGGCCGTTTTCCAGGTAAGTGGAGTCTGAACGAATAATTCTCTCCACACGCTTCAGAATAAACGACTGTTATAATATTGCAGCGAATATTTCCAGCTGTGTGTGTGTGTGTGCGCGCGCGCCTCTCTCTCTCGCGGTGGCTTGGCGTCTGTAAGTCTCGGTTTGATCCGGGTGCTGCTGCTGGACACCGGCCACGGACTCGGTGGAAGCAGCTGAGGTGCAGTGTTCGCTTTTACTGAGAGACGAACACATTTAGGACACCCCAGCCGGCTCATGATTTGGATCTGAAGCTGATCCACTTCCCCCTGAACGTGATTCCTGTACAGAAACCTTCTTTCATTCTTTGAGAAATAAAAAAACTTTTAACTTCCGGACACTTAATGTTTTGTTTCTTACATTCAAACCATCATTGAGTTGACCAAACTAGTAAAAAAAATCTAGAAAAGTTCCCATCATGTAAAGATTACCCAGCTGGTGAGCATCACACCTGCACGCTGACCCCCGTGACCTCACACAGGTGTCCTCCAGCCCTGCTCTCTCTCTCAGCTTCCAGAACCATACCTGAAACCACCAACAGGGAGGTTCTGATTCAGATTTGCAACAGGGTTTGGATACTTTTTCTTGGCAGCAGGAGACAAATGTGTCGGTGAACGGATCACATGGTGTAATAAACTATTAATCCAGAGAAGTGGATTAAAAAGCCAACACAGAAGGTCACACCCCGCCCCCAAAAACACACATTTCAGCTGCAGAACCAAGGTCAGAATGTGGGTGCGATTGCTTCTGCTGCCAGCTCGTTCCCAAGTGATGGTGTTTTCAGTAGGGAGGTGGAGGTGGCCTGATGGAGGAGGTAACAATGTGCTTCAGTGGGTGTGCAGTTCAGCGAGAAGTCACTCTTTTTTTCAACCCATAAAAACATTGAGAGCGTTTTCTGGTCAGGGCTGGGGAGGTGTAGCATTGTTAAACTGTTAAGAGGGTAGGTGGTGGGGGTGTCTGTGCTTTTCACCAATAGATGGAGGCAATAAAATGCTTCCCCCCCCCCCTCTCTCTCACGATCCCTCCCTTCCAGCCTCTGGAGCGATGGCAGGGAAATAAAGTGAGGAGGACCTTGGAGTGCCGGTGCTCAGTCCCTCACAGCCAGCACATGGATCTCTGTCTAATGGGCATCTGGCTGCTAACTCTCCCACAGCGTCCCATGAGAGCCGTCGGCCCTGCAAAGCTGCATTTTATCAGCTGTGCTGCCCATCGAGACGCAGAATATTTCAAATAGTTGGATAGACCAGTTAATGTGAGTATGAGCGTGTACGCTTTTGGGAAACCATTTTTTTTATCGATTTGTCTTGGCAGGCTTACGATGAAACTGCTTTAATTGCATCATATATTTTGTGGAGAAGCCTCTGAAACATCTCTGCTTGTTATCAGACTCAACAAAAGTCTCGCTGAGCATTTTTAGACTACGAACAAGTGAAAATGGTAAAACTGCAGTAATGCTGCCGTTTTGTGACTGAAATCCTGTAAATGAGGGTGAAGTTTTCGTCCCCAACAGTGGGTTGGTCTGGTTGACCTCTTGTTCTCTATCTGGGCCGTTGTTTTGGTGTCAGCCATTGGTTTTGGCGACTGGGGGGACAAGAACGGACAACCTAAAGGACGTTTGAATTTCAGGCATTGCACAGAATGAATCAAACGAGATGTTTTGCACAGTTGCCTGATCTTTACAGCCGGCGGTAGTTAACCACATGAAAGAACGCGGTAATGAGTGGTGTTTTCAGTCCATATGAACGGTCTCTTTTGTGTGTTGTCTTGCATCTCGAGAAAGTCTGAGTTGGTTTGTAATTGGCTCCCGACAGGCTGAACAGAAAGGCCGGTGGAAGAATTCATTCGAGTCCAGAGCTATGACACGGTCACTTTTCCTCCTCGCGCTGCGATCGCTCTGTAAATGAACCCAATCGAGGGCAGAGCTCTGACCATCAGCCTTCTCAAAACCAATTTCCCTTCCAGTCTAGACATGCTTTTTGTCAGATTTGTTGTTACATGCATGTGGAGCTCAAAAAATCTCCCAGACCAACAAATTAGTCTTTCCATGGCTGGTGGGGAAACTTCTATGAGGATCTCGGGGTTTTCTGCAGCTTCAGCTGTCAGTGGGTTCTCTCATCTTTTTGTAATCCTCTGCATGAATCTTCGTCTCTGAAGTCCTACCTTCTGTCAGATCGTTGTTTATCTTGTCCCCCCCTTCCCTGACTGATATCCAACATATTTTTGATGTCTTAATAGATCATTCTGGCAATCTGTCACTTTCTCTACATCTAACACGGGAAACAGATTCTCCTCCTTCATCTTAAATCTCAGTTTCTCTTTGAAGCTGCAGAAGATGTTTCATCTGTCCCCCTCCTCCTCTGCCCATCCATCTTACCCCCCCCTTGTCTGATTATTTATGTGCTTGCTCTTTCTTTTTCTTTCTTTCGAGGATGCCCTTAATGCATAAATATAATCCACTTGTCTCTGTCTTACATCAGGGCGTTTTAGTGTAGCTTCCCGTCTCATTGTCTCAACCTGCAGAATTCTTGATGGAAAACTTTAGATGAGAGGCATTTCCAGATCGTTTTCATTTTTATGATTGAGAGGTTGTTTCTTCGTCGTCCTGCAGACAGTTCTTTGCAACTGCAGTGAAGGGATGTTGCTCTATTAAAGGTGTATAATGGAATTATGATGGTTTCCATTCACTTGTATCATTATCTTTGTTTAGGGTGGTGTTTTGTGTTTGTAAAGCCTATTTTCATTTGAGCATCTTAAATCAAGGCACATGTGTGCACAGCCTCTTCAACCTCAGATCTTAGACGTGTAATTAATTCTGCTGACCCAGGGATAGCAAGGTGGCAAAGAGACGACCTGATGATGAGGCTAATGAGACTTAAAGTTTTAATTGAGTTTACAAAAACATTAAAAGGGGAAACGACTCCAGAGAGCTTTGTAATCTCCATCACCCTCCACACCCTGCTGAGACGACCTGGGAATTCTGCTAGATTGCTGTTAACTGACTTTTAGCTCAGCCTTCTGCATCATCAACCCAGACTCTGTGATCGATAAATAGCTGAACTGAAACGTTCAAACAATGCATGAATGAATTACTTTCTTTTGAAACAGACCATAATTTGTGAAGCTTATCTCCCCCTCCTTCAGTCATCATTGGTGCACCTCAAGGGTGTGTCTTTAGTCCTCCTGTACATTTTACTCACACGACTGCACTCCATCCCGTCTCTCAAACACCAATATGTAGTCAAGACGTCGCAACAATCTGGGACCGGATCTCAGGGACAAATGAAACATCCGTAGCAGTAGCAAAAGATTTTGCTCTGCATGTTGGTCTAGCTATGCTCCATCGTAGCCTCAGCCACTCTACCATTGGCCTGAGCAGTTTGTGTCTGGCCAGTCACAGCAGTCGGCCTCTGTTTGATGGGCTAGGCTTCAGAGCTACAATGGAAAACCACTTCAAAGATGGCATCGGCTCAGGAATGGCGCTCATTAACGGCTTTGGCATCAACCTTGGACAATTTAGACTTGGATTTTTCTTTGAGGCACAAGCAGATAGGTTATTCAATCCTTGATTTAAAAATAAAAGGATGTTTTTGCTTCTTAAACGGTGTATGGCGGACTGCCCCGTAAACTGATTGCCATAGCGATGAATTAGAGCTGGGCGATGTGGCCTAAAATCAATATCACGATATATTGAGGATTTCACCTTGATAACGATGAATGGACGATGACCACAGGCGTGCCCAGAAACAAAACTTGTCCACTAGATGGGGCTGCCACATGTATTACGTTGAGTCCCATTTTTACGTGACTCAGGGTGGTACAGCTTCTTAAAGTGCACCAATAGTGCACCGTGTTCCTCTACATCCACAGGAATCATGTAGAGCGTGACGAATCCTTCAGAATTCTGGGTGTTTATTTCTTGGAAACACTCACCCGGTTCTTTAAAATCAGAGGAGGTGGTAAAAATGACCCAGCACCAATTAAAGCTGGAGTCCCATTAGTCATCACACACTGGTGACATTTTTCCTCTGCATTTGACCCATCCCCTGTAGGAGCGGTCAGAAACTATTTGGTGGTTCGCACGTCCTGTGATATAATTGAATATAACAGGGGTGAGTATTGGCAAGGATCTGGTAATACTATATATATCAGTGCAGGGAGACGATATGCTGTACTGTAAAGAAGAAGAGGTTGGACCATTGGATAGTGTATTTTCAAAAGTTGCTTGGTTGAACAGCCAGAAAAACATTCCACCTTTCAACCTCATCTTTTCTGTCTGAACTAGGTTGATTTGAGATGACTAAATCAGGCCATGGTTCCTCTCATATCCAAGATTTTGTCTTTTATCTTGTGAAATAATCTTGAAGGAGCTGAGGGTCTACAGCTGATGCCCACAATCAAAGCAATAAATACATTTAATAAGACCTTCTTCACTAGAGGGTGAAGAAGCCTAGACTTGCGTAATAGAAAACAAACTTTTAGAAAAGTGACTTGGACTGTCTGATGAAACATAAACAGGGAATAGCAGTCTCAAAGCTGCTGGATTTGACAAAAATAAATGGCTCACCATGCAGGAGGAGGGTAAGCTGAACCCCAGGACCAGCCTCGAGGTTTGAGGTTTTACTCCCATCAGTGCAGGTGAATCAAAGGCTTTAAAAGCTGAACAAAAGACACGGAGGCTGAGCCGCTCATATCGAATCACAGCCGCCCAAAATGAAAGTTTGCTTGGTGACCTGAGCCAGGAGAGCAAAGGACAATACTGATTGAATCACAGTAGGGCTGTACAATATTTCGAAAAATTATCGTCATCGGGATAACAGGACGTGCGATAGGTCCATCGCAAAGCACGTCAAAAACTGTGATAAATGTTTGGTTCAAACATTTCCATCCGTGTCATACATCAACTTTTTGTAAACCAGCTCTGTTTTTTTACGCGGAAGTATTATTTGACCAATCAAATGTAGCCCTTCTGATATGCGGCC